AGAGAAAGGAGCAGAGGCAGCTGGGCCATGAAGCGATTATAGCGAAAGAGGCAGTGGACGCTAATTTGCCTGCTGTAAAGCATGAACCCTTTCTTCTTTACAGCCTATCAAAAGCAGGCTCCTGGTGTGGGAGATTTGTCTGTATTCTATCAATCGTGTATTTTAATAAAATGCTGATTGGCCAGGCAGGAAGTATAGGTGGGTCAACCAGACAGGAAGTAGCGGCGGGGCGATGAGAACAGGAGTATTCTGGGAAAACAGGAAGCTCCCTCCGCCATTCCTGCCCAGACCACCGAAGAGGCAACATGTAAGCTGACAGCTGAAAAAGGTACCAAGCCATATGGCTAACATAGATGAGAATAATGGGTTAATATAAGCTATAAGAGTTAACAAGGAACCTGAGCTAATGGGCCAATCAGTTTATAATCTTATGGAGTCTTGTGTGTGATTTTTCTTTGGGGTTTGCTGGTTGTGGGGTACTGGGCGGGACAGAAACCCCAACAAGCCCCCGCTCATGTTACATATGGCGCCCAGACATGGATAACTGAATCCACAGAAAGCCTGAGAAAGTTTGGGAAAGAATAGAGTAAAGCATGTTTTCTTGGTAGCAGCAATTTCTCAGGTCTGCTATGCTTGCTAGAGGCAAGCAAGCACTCTTATCTAAGAGAGGCTTCCTGACTCAGCTTCAGCTGCAAAACTTTGCAGCTCCTTTAAGAGGTTCTGCCGCGAAACACTTAAACGGTGTTGATGAAAAGCTAAAGGCATGCTTTTCGGTTTTCAGCCATAGCAGGAAAAAAGCTGCGCTGTTTTAAAATGCCGGCTTTCTGGGCTGTCCTGCCAGGACAAACTTTGACCCTTGCACGCAGGCAGTCCGACTGAGTGTGGTCTGTGAACAGAATGCTGCAGCTTGCTTGCTGGCAGGGACCTTGAAACACTGTAGAGTTGTGACGATAAAAATGGCTCTGGTGGTACCTCTGCCATGAGGCTGGAAAGCTAAGGAATGGGCTGGATCTAGCCGTCAAAGCCACGGTTCTCCATATTGCTTAGTAAATTAAAGGCTCATGTGGTCAGAAAAAGAGAGATATACAGTAAAGAGAGATTCAACGAGGAAGAAAACCTCTAAATGATTTACAATGTGTTAAAAATATATGCAGGCTGAAGGTTAAAGTTCTTAAAAGTAAAAAAGAAAAAAAAGGAGTAGTTGGGTGTGGTGGTACACACCTTTAATCCCAACACAAGGGAGGCAGAGGTAGATTGACCTCTGTGACCTCAAGGTGTGGTAGTATACGCCTTTAATCCCAATGTCTGGGAGGCAGAGACAGATCTCTGTGAGTTCAAGGTGTGGTAGCACATGCTTTTAATCCCAGCACTGGGGAGGTAGAGACAGACAGATCTCTGTGAGGTCAAGGACAGCCTGGTTTACAGAGTTATTCCAGGACAAAGATGTATACAGAGAACCTGTCTCAAAAAGTAAAAGTAAAAATAAAAGAAATAGAGGTTAAAATAAAGCTGCATAAAGATGGAAAATAAACAGAGAATCTTGATACTGTATGCTATTATTCTCTCTTTGAATTGTTTGAATGCTGAGGAAGGAGCAACAGCTGCTAAAAGACTTTTGTTTATAAATGCTGCTGAACTAACCCAAGAGAGGTATTTTGAAAATACCTTGGCTTCAAAACTGAAGTTAAAAGGTATGTTACTTTGGAGAAGAGATTTTGCTTTTGTTTCCACAGAAAACAAGAGGCTCTGGATTTATTCAGAGTTAGGAAAAATCGCCTTTGATCAAAGGAGACCACCCGAGAAATCTCCGGTAGGAACGGATGACCCAGATGTCTGAGTTCTTCATCCAGAACAGGTTCAAGACTGCTGCCTGAGATGATCAAGACTCACAGGATACTTCAGTCAGGACTTGATTATAACTCTAAATTTTCTTTAGGTCCCCATAAGATTATCAGTGCTCCCAACCAGCAGGGAGTAGCCTGGAATACTACATCCACATTCCCGAAAAATGGACTATGGGTATTTTCCTTTGTTTAAAAAAAAAAAAAAGAGGGAAATGGTGTGGGAGAATTGTCTGTATTCTGTCAATCATATTTTAATAAAACGCTGATTGGCCAGGCAGGCAGTATAGGCGGGAAAGCCAGACAGGAAGTAGGGGTGGAGCAAAGAGACTGGGAGTATTCTGGGAAGCAGGAAGCTCCCTCCGCCATTCCTGTGCAGACCACCGAAGAGGCAGCATGTAACCTGCCCAGCTGAAAAAGGTACTGAGCCGTGTGGCTAACATAGATAAGGATAATGGGGTAATATATGTTATAAGAACTAATAAGTAGCCAGAGCTAAGGGCCAATCAGTTTATAATCTTATGGAGTCCTGTGTGTGATTTTCTTTGGGATATGCTGGCTGTGGGGTACCGGGTGGGACAGAAACCCCAACAAGCTGGCCCCTTCATGTTACAGGGTCCTGAGCAGAGAACAGGAAGAAGAAAATTATATTTCTATTCTTACTTTTTTTTCAGTTTGGAAACCCTAGACCCACTAAGTGCATCCATGTTTCATCTAGGATTATCAATTTTATGATATTTTAATAAAATAAATCCCAGATTTCAGAAATGTACAGAGGCATGGCTCCTACCTCTCTTTTCCACAGTGAGTTAACCCATGTTCGGCCTTCATGGATACTAATTGGAACAGCTGGCTGGTGGTAAAAGTTCAATTATGCCCCTGGATAAAGTCACGATTATACTAACAGTATGGTTTGAAAATAAGGTGCACAAGGCGATTACATGTTCCGCCAGTTATGTACATCAGCCTGTTTCTGCGCCAATTAGCTCCATTCCTGAATCCTACCTGATAGACGCGTTTATGCGCTTGTTTCCCGCCATGAGCTGAAACCCGCAAGATGCTGCACAGTGAGCCAGCATTTCTCCCTGAGATGCTCATCTTTCAGTGACAGGAGCCAGGATGGGGAAATGGTGACCGCATCCTGGACAGCCATGCAATGACAGACACCAGGAACAGGCTGTCCTGGCTACTGGAACCTTGGGCTATCCAATTCCTATTTTGTTAATTTCCCCTGACAAACCATGTTTACTGTTTAATAATGTTTCTGCTATCGGGAAATGGCCTCAGGTGTGCCAATTCCATCCACTTTGTCTTCATAATGCAGAGCTTCTTTCCATTTATTTATGGGCTTTCAAATGCAGATCAAACAGATTCTCCCTTTACCCCACGTCACCACTCTCTGATTTGCTTTAACTGTAAAATAATCAAAATATCACATAGGAATGCTCTCTCTACCCCCAGTATCTACACCAATTAAAAAATCACATAGGAATGCTCTCTCTGCCCCCCCCCAAGTATCTACACCACTGAAATATGGAAGCCCCTCAAGGAAGTACCCATCTATCACCCATCTGAAATAGACAGAGCGCCTATTTTAAATTGTAGGACAGAGATCTGGACTTTGGTGCTCTTCTGATGGGTGTGGGAACAAAAGGTCAGACGGTTCCTGGAGAGAACAGTCTGGTTCCTTTTTGTTTCTCTGTGACACTTGTATATCATCTTCTAAGAAATTTCAACTAGAAGTGAACATCTTGAAGCCAAGTGGCCCAGAGGAGAGAACAAATCACAAGCAGGAAAGTCTGAACTACTCAGCCTCTGTCTCGTTCCTGAGGGCCTTGTAAAGAGTCCTTCTGGAGGCTGATGAATAAGAGGAAAGGCATGCTGGCTACTCAGGGCCCATTTGAAGGCCTTTTCTTTACACACAAGGTCATGTTGACCCTTCCTGGGTAGAAGAGGGCTACCATATTACCAGCTCTCCAAAGGTTCAAACCGGTCAAGAAAGTTCCAGAGTTGGCTCTGGGTGAGCAGGGATGAGAGCTGAATGCTGACATCCCAAATCTTAATGCCACTTAGTTACTTCAAATCAACAAAAGATGGGCCATAAGCAAAACCAAGTGACCCAAGCTCTGGGTAGTGAGCCCAGTGAACTCATCTGTTCTCATTCTGGTCACACCATGTGGCTAGAGCACACGAAACCATTAAGGTGAGCCCTGAAATCCCCAAAGCCCAGGAAAGGGCCCTCCAGCCTTGGGGAAGCTGTTGACCTGGATAAGAGCTGGTACAGAACATGAAGGGGAGGCAAGGTCCTTATCACCCTGTGCACGTCATGGTGAAGGGTATAGCAAGCCACACTGGGCCTGGTGGTGTCTGGTGGGAGGAGCAGGCCCGATTCTCCATCTGGAAATAGGTGGACCGGCCTTTCTAATCTTTTGGTGAGCACCAGGCTGGCCTGTGGGGATTCTATTGCCAGCTCTAATAGAAGCCAAGATGATGAGATGGAAAGCAACTAAAAACCTAGCCCAGTGCCTGGAGAGCTCACAGGCCCACCTTGGAAAACCGTGAGGAGGCTGCTTTCAGGTGAGCGGGAGACAGCCAGGCCTGAGCAAACTGTGGAGAGGAAGCATGCTCCCATGTTAGAAAGGGAAACACTAGTGGTCCTTGTCTCCTACAGCCACTGCAGGAACCCACTGTGAATTAGAAGTTCCCTGTGCTAAAAAACTGTTTTCTGCCATCCAGATCCCCAAATTATGACTCCTACTACTTCATGGACACTCAGCAAAACTGTATTTCTATCTAACTTAAAAAAGTAGAGGCGCTATTTAACAAGAACTTGGGGGTTGGGTACAGAACACATGAAAGGTCGCACACATCATCTCCGAATGGACAAGTTAGTGTCTGGACACCATGTCATGACCATGCTGTTTGTCAGATTAGTATGACTCTCCCGCGATTTGTTTTGTTTGTGGTTAAGTCATGGTACCGTATTGGTGAAGACAAATATTTTCAGAGATTGCAGTTGTCTGGCCTCAGAAGTCAATTTATGAAACTTCCCACCAGCCTGGGGATCGTCTCGGTCTGTTGTGTTTTACTGCTTAATTAGCAAGTTGTCAAACGTGGCGGCCTGCGACGCTGAGTGACGCTTTTTACCTGTTCACTTACTTTTTATCGGGATAATGAGCTGGGGAATGACAGGTAGAATCTTGTTCCCCCCGTGTTCCAGCATGTCGTGGATTCCTTGCCGAGCGAAAAACTCATAGGGAAATGTCATTTCACAAAGCCCATCAAAAAACAGAGGCAGGTAATGGTGGTAATCCAGCTTCTCGATTTCTACCTGGAAGCAGAGAGAAGAAACGCCGTGTGAAAACAACGGTGGAGCGGGCTGTGCAGGGCCACCAGGCAGCTCTGTCCCCTGCTTTGGGGAAGAAGACCCTGCAGTCCACCATGGAGGTGTGACTGACCCCCACACCCAGTCACCAGAAGCGTGCCCTATGCCTTTGATCTCTTAGCAATGAGGGTAACATTCTCAACTTTGAAATCTCAACCACGAAGTGCCTTGGTCACATATCATTGGGAGCACACTGTTAATTTATTGATTTTGTTTTTTGTTTTCCATTTAGACCAAGTTTGATCATGAATGTTCAGATTAGAATTCAAGATAGGTGTGTAAAAACAAAATGAAAGGAAACCCAAATCAGTCTAAATAGATTGATATGTAAATTTCTAACAAGAACCTAATAAGGAATATATATGAATGCCAATAATTGGCCAACAAGGCGATTAGGGTCACCTATGGTTTCCTGGGACTTGGGTGACAGTACAATACTTGCGCCATCAAGAAAACAAGGGAATGAATGATGAATATTTCAACCCTGAGTGAATATTTTAACACATATTGCTTTCCCAGTACAGGGTCAATTTCCTTGTTTCCAAGTCTTTACCAACGTGCCCAGTCTCCTATGATCTCCTATTTAAGTGACCCTGAGAAATGCCCTCCTTAATAGTAGGATGCTTTTCCTCTCGGCCTTTTGGAGGCTACAGGCTCACCTCTGCTGTCCCCACGATGTGGGCGACTGGTAGCCAACAGAGCACTTTCTTCAGGGTCTGGTGGTTCTGAATCTATGTCTATGGTTCCCCAAGCATAGGGTTCACAAATGTAGGAAGAAGACACAAACCTACATGTACTTCATTTGTTAGATTCATTTGTCGATTTACACAGCGTATTTGATTCCAGATGAAGTGCATGGAAAAGCCTCTGAGTAATGGTGGGCCTAAGTTTCTCTGAACATCTCAAAGTGTTTTGGGGGTGGTATTTTGCACACTATGGGAAATTTACTGCTGTATCTCTTGGATACAAAGGTACAATGTTACCTATAATTTTACCTTGTCACCCGATTCATAGTTAATGCTTCCTGTACTTTTTACTTGTATTCTAAAGTATGTATAAAAATCCCATGGTACTGATCACAGTCGTTCTTTGTTACTCAAACTTATACTTTGCCAATTTCTCTTTTCAGAACATTGTACTTGTAGGTATGTTCTATGTAATTACCAACTTTTATATTTTAATATGATCTAAGACTATATTTTCATGTTAACTTAAGTCATTTGCAGGTATAGCTCTGCCTGTTTAACACCTGTCATTTTTATGAGTTCTAGTTTTATTTTTCATATGTTTTTCCTTTCTACTTCCCAGCTTTGTTTGATAGATTTTATTTATTTATGTTGTGTGATTTTGCAAGGACTTTAAAGATAGATCAGCTTGTTTAAACCCTATTGTAGCTAGCTTTTCTTTCCCAGGTGTTTCAGATATATACTTTTAGGGAGACAAGGAAGTTAAATGTCTCTTAACAAGATCATTGACATGTCAAATTTTGTGTGTGGGGGGGAGGAGGATTTCATTTTTCCTTTCCATGATTTGAGGCAACAATACTAAAAATAACAATGGTGCCAGAGTGCATGATGCCAGGAACTATGAACGCTGCATTGGTGTCCTTAACAGGACAATGTTAAAAGATATAACCAGTGTCCCAGTGGTCAATACAGGAAACCTGAGGGGCACAAGGTATCTGGACAGCTAACTCCCTTAAGGTCCACTGAAGCTCATGAGCAATGCTAGAGCTGGGTGGGATTCAAACCCGAGCCATCTGGATGGGAGACGCTGCTGCTGCAGCCTGGTGAATCGCTCTTTGTCCTGTGTCTTCATTATCCACATCACTGCCAATGCAGTTGCATGGAGTCTGATTTAATAATTATCAGCACTGTAACTGAGTGGCCTACAGTGCTGTCCCTCCCTCCCTTCCCTGCTCTCTCCAGCCTTGTGTTTCGAGGGCCTCTCCTACTGCACTTAATGGTGGGAATTGCTTTACCTCTTCCATTTTATAATGTTTCAGTGACAAATATTGAGAACCCACATGACTCTGTTTTCAAAAAGCTGTAAGGAAAATTCATAAAATAACATAGAAGAAGAAGGGAGCAGTTGAAGACAGGGAAAATGTTGAACTACCGAGTGGCGATAATCCTGTCTTTTCCTGACCTGTTTGTCACCTGGCACATGAGCCATTGGCGCAGGCCTGCTGCCTCTGCAGTGAACAACACGTGCCCTTGCATGCCGACAACCTTCTTTAAACGTTGTAGGTGCTGCCCTCTAGACTTCTTTCCGTGTGAAACCCACTGCTTGCATGCCTTTTAGGGGCCCATTTTGAGAGCATAAGATTGTTTCTTTTTTTAAAAATTTACCTAGGCCTTGGCAAGCCCTCTTGGGTCCACTTAGTATAGGGAGCTTCATGTGTTTTAATATCATTTTACCTGACTTTTGATTTTTCTTTACTATTCTTTCCTCCTTCCCAATTCCTCTTCTTCCATTTCTGTTTCCCCTAAATTTCTCCTAGGAGCAACAGGACCATCTTCACAGTAAAGTGTTTCAAGAGAATCCTCTAGAGTGATGTCTATGGCTCTCTATTTTCACCCTTTCTTTACCCACTTGCCCATTGCATTCCTGATTCCTTTTGATCAAGACCACCAACATCACCTTTCTCTAATCCTCTTGGCCCTCTTCTGATCTCATTAGTATAACACAACAACTCTCCCCATCCTCCCTAGGCCTCCTGTGCCACACAGCATCCCCATGAACTCCCTATCCTCCCTAGGCCTCCTGTACCACACAACATCCCCACGAACTTCCCATCCTCCCTGGGCCTCCTGTACCACACAGCATCCCCACGAACTTCCCATCCTCCCTGGGCCTCCTGTACCACATAGCATTCCCACGAACTTCCCATCCTCCCTGGGCCTCCTGTGCCACATCTCCAATGCCAGGTCCCTCTCATTCCTTTGGTGATGGACTCCCACTGCTCCTGGTCAAAGTCCCACAGGGCTTCCCTGACCTGTGCATTCTGTGCCTTCTCCCTTCGGCATGTGCAGTGCCCTGGAGACTTGCTTGTCTTCACCCTTCCCTACTTAGAAACTGTCTTTGGAGGCACAGCTCAGTGGCAAAACCAAAACACTAATGGCATTCAGGGCTGTGGAGAAGACTCAACTGGTAAAGGGAATAACATACAGTCATGATGATCTACTTCAGGTCCTGCCACCCATGTGAAAAGCCAGGTGCAATGCTGTGTGACTGTAATCTCAACACCAGAAGGTCAGAGATAAGGATTCCCATGGCTATTAGCTGTAGATTAATTAGGAACTACAGGGTTAGTGAGAGGCTCTGTCTCAAAAACAAAGGTGGAGACATTGAAGAAGACACCTTCCATCAACCTCTGACCTATATAACCATGCTTCTTTGTACAGACAAACACACACACACACACACACACACACACACACACACACACCCCTGAAACATTTCTTTTCCCACAGTTATGGAGATTAGAAATGCAGCATCAGGTGTCAGCATGGCCAGGTTCTGTTGAGGGCTCTCTTCCGTACCTTGGAGAGCATCCTCCCCTTACCCTCACAGGCCATTCTTCTGTGTGTGTGGAGAGTGGGCTCCCAAGCCCCTGTCACTTCTCAGAAGGACACTAACAATTTTATCATTTCCATCTAGGCCCAATTGGATTGGTTTTAGTACCTACACATGGTCAATGGGAATGAAGTGGGGCAGCTCAGTCCATGGGCCACTTTCTTACCCCCAGAGTTCTCTGAGATCAAGTCATTTCGCCTGAGCCATCAGTTCAGGGAGTCCCCTTTGTCATCACTGCCACCACTGCCACCCTCTATGACTTTCTCTCAGCTGTACTAAGTCTCTGGAGTCCTGTCGTTCTGTGAGTTTGCCACTGCTGAGGAGGATATGCTCACAAGAGCCCTTAGACATGGTGGGTGTTGCATTTATTTATTTATTTATTTATTTATTTATTTATTTATTTATTATGTCTTTATTTATGAGTGTGGGCATGCCATGGTATGCCTGAGGAGGTCAGAGGACAACTTTTGGGGCTCAGTTCTCTCCTTCCATCATGCTGGTCCCAGGGATTAAATCCATGACCCTGGACTTGGCAGCAAGCATCTTTACCTGTTAGGTCATCTTGCTGAGCCCTGGATTTTAACCCTGACCTTTTGAAATCAACTAAGAAGTCGACTGAACTGAGAAACAAGGGTCAGTGATGAGAGCCTATGCTCACCCAAGGCCGGGCTATTACGGGGTCCGGAGGACGTGGAGTTTTATGTTGATCCTAAAGCAGCAGAGGATGTACACATCCCTGTAGGTTTACATAGTCTATAACTTCATTCTTCACATAAAATGCTTTTGTTCTCTCTGTGGGGACATATCTCATGAACCTGAGCATTTCATGATGATGTGATGAGGTGTTGAGCATCTTAAAAGACAACCAGGATGAAAGACTTCATATTTAGCTTGCAATTCACCAGCTGTCATGTAGGGTGTTCACAGACTGACCTGTGTATGGGCGACAGTTTACGAATGAAGGCCTCTTTCCCACAGGACCTTCAGGTGCAACCACCCTAAAATATGTCCATGACGGCAATGACAAGGTCAGCATTGTAAAAATCTAGATGTTGGGACTCTTCATGATTTGGCTCAAGTCTTGAAAGGGACAATCCCAGAGGTCCCTCATTTATGGTACACAGTGTTGCACCATGACTATGTTATAGAGTGCTTCTAAATTACTGCTCTTTTTGGTTCATTTAGGTTTAAAAATGGCTTTTTACAGTTTATTTAACAACTAATAGCTTTCCATCTATGCAGTTTCCTGATCATAAGGTGACCAGTTTAGTGCTTAAGATAATGTGTATTTCTTAAGAACTACCATAAACTCTCATTTACACATTTGATAATCTTCTTATGGCAGTTTATGAAATCCAGAAGTAGGA